TCTTATGTGGCTGGCACTTCTGCTAGTGATGGAAGTCACACTGGAGATTGTGGTTCCTCCTAAGGACCTAGCATAGTCTTTCATGAAGAGCTCATTCATTCCCTTTCGTGCCTTGACTTCATCATAATTTGCTGCAGATGATAGTTCTCTCATAAGCTTCACTAAATCCCTAGTGACTGCGGTGCATGTATCCATGTTCCTTACAATATCCTGGGAGGGTGTCAAGGACGACCGCAAGTTGACATATGCTGTCATAAGCTCTGCCTCAGAATCTTCTACTGTCTCTATCATTTCACTCAAATTCTCGTTTATGCTTTCTTGTTTTAGCTTTCTGCGAATGTCTATGGTGTATACTTTCCACCTCTCATACATTCGGGCGAACTTTTTCCTTTCAGTGCTGCCTCTTGCTCCAAATTTTCTAGCACCCTTTGGGTCGGTTTTCTGCCCCGTGATGAACGTTTTAGTTCACCTGTTTGAGCTATATTTGTTTGGGGCGAGACTACCGTTACGCTGCACCTTTCAGATTCAGACGGGTTTGTCACGGGCGCAGGATCGCCGCCACCAACATGCGTCAATCTCACGACCGCGACCACCAATATGTCACGATCGCGGCGTCAGACCCCAGACCTTCTCACCAAACTCGTGACCGAAGGACCATCCGATCCAGACTGCAATGTGACGTGCGTAACAATGCCACACCCAGCTGCACCCTACACAGTGATTTTCCAGCTAATGGATTTCAATCTGTGCCTGCAGCCTGGATGCGCTTGTTACTGGGTCAAGTTAATTACGCAACTGACCCTTACACTGCCAACACCCCTTTTTGTACAGAGAAAGGGGAAACTCTCTTTATCAAATATACACTGTAAAGGTTTAAAAGTCGTCTGTCCAATACGGTCACCGCAGGCCGATTGGGCAGAGGATAAAACAAAACACAGTAGCGTCTCTTTAGAGGCAGGAATTCGTAAATTGCAATTAAGCGCTTTAGAAACAGTTTAACACTTTCAGAAAGATTTATTACTAAAAGAGTCAAACAGGTGCAATGAAATATTTACAGAAAAAGATGTACGAAGATACATATACATACAAAGAACCATAGCACAGCAAAGAGATATCAGAGAGGAAGTTAAAGGGTTAAGTTACTTGCCAATTAAGTCTTTGATGTAAGCAGATCCAAGTTGCAGAGCAGAATGGTGCTTTGATCTCCCGCTGTTACGATGGAAAAAATGGGGAAGTCTTCAACTTAACTATTTAGGCCTGCTAGCCTGTGTTTTAAAGTCCCCCAGCAGGGGGGTGGCTCTGAGTAGCTGACCAATACTCTGTTTAGGGTGGGATCGTCGGGCAGACTCTGAATTAGAACCAACATCTTCATAATCCATGATATGAAACATAGGGGACAAACTGACTTGAGGAATGTTCATTTAATTCTGTCACCTACGCTGCTAGGTTTTATGAGGTTACAATCTCTTTCAGTTCCTGGGAAAAGCTGCCTTATCTCGGTTACGAAGTGAGAAATTACACATATTCTTGGGTAACTAGGCTCTGTCTCTCTGGGGGGGCTTTGTAGCTCTGGGCCCCCTGCCAGTGACACTTTTAACACACACACATCTGTCACTGTGCCTCTCAGGAAGGAAGGGGGACGGAGAATTAGAAATGAGAGACACAATATATACTCCGTACCAAGATGGAGGTGCCCACAAAATGGTTGAACTGCGTACTTCACTGTGTTTTGCGCAGTTTTTGCGACAGGGTTCTCTTGCTCTTCACCTTCTACTATATCTATCATCCGCTAACAGTGGGGTGGCAATGCTAGGCTCTGACCTTTTACTTTACATGTAATAGCACCAAACGTAGGCAATAAATTACTTTCACTTTAAATACTTCAGAGTCATATACTATATCTGTCTCTCTCTCTTTTTCTTTTTTTATTTAAAAGTCTGTATTCTCTTGAGCACAATACTGTCTCTTGCAGACACCTATGTGCGTAAGTGAGTAATAAAGGAAAGCTCTGACCTTAATTGAAAAGCAGGATACCATGATCTGAAAGTTGCAGAAACAAACGTCAGTCTTAAAGGAGACTTTTCTTTTCTTGATGCGGTGACTTTCGATGCTCTGCGGTGACTTTCGACTGGTATTGTGAACTCTCTGGATGCGACACGTGGTCTCTTGATGGATAGCGGTGCGGGCACTCTAGCTCTGGACTCTGCCCCCCCCCCAATGCATCTTTCTCTCTCTAGGGGTGCAGGAGGGTTGGCGCCCTTTCTTTGCCAGTATGCCGCTTTAAGAGTCGGCTGCAGTCTAATGCGCACGTGCTATGGCCTGTACTTTTGTTCCGGTGAGGTGTCACCGCATGGTGGTATATGCTGGCGCTCTGATTCTCTAGTGTACTCTTTACTGTGCAAGTTGAGGAGCGCTGTTGCTTGACCTCTGAGGGTAATAGTTCCACTGTGGCAGGCGCAGCACTATGTAGTGCCTTGTGCGCTGTGGCATTAGAAAAATTATGCAATTGCTGTTTCTTTTGTTTGATTAGACTGATTTTACTCTGTAATTCCTCTAATACCGTGCTATGGATTGCATTAGGTTTAAAGAGCACACCGAATACTTTAGTTAACTTCTTTAATAACTTCAATCTTCCTCATATAACACTGCTGCTTGTGCAGCGGACAGTTCATGTACAAACACGCGGTGAATGAAAATCACCAAGAAACAAGGATATTCAACAGTTCAACCTTGTCAGATAACATAAGACGGTAGACGTATTGTATATTATGGATTACGGTTGCATATTGTGATTCTTTACGTATTTCGTTTCGTATTACTATTTCGTTGGAACTATTTATTTGGCCTTCTCTGCTTCCATAGAACTTATCTCTGACTGGGACTCTGTCTGTTTCCTCTTCTGCCTGGTGAGCAAGTGGCTCTAGAAAGATCTAGCAGGGGGTTTTACACAGGTACAAATGTGAAACTGGCTGGGATTGGTTAAGGCTCTGTGCAGTGTGAGGCTGGCTGTGATTGGCTTACCTATGTGCTGACTCTTAAAAGTATATTTTCATTTTCTGCTTCTGCTAACACAATGAATATATAAATGTTATATAACATTCAGAGACATAAATTACAGCAATGATTCTGCTTTGGGCTTTAACATATGCACATATACACTGTACTGAGGTTATTGGCATGTTCAGTATACACATATATGTGAACCATATTAGCAACCTAGGACCGGTCTTAGCTGGCCAGCTACAAAGGGTGATGGTCATGTTTTTGCATGAAACTGTAGTTAGCTTCTCAATGGATCCAAATCCCCTTACATATCATGCCCACTGCTCAAATGGTGATCCCTATCCAACTTTAGTGGGCATTTGGGATTTATCTGCTTATTTGTTTATGTTGGTTCTATAAAAAAAAAAGAGAAGAAATATTATTTTGAGGGAAACGTTAACAGTGTGTTGTTACCATTCATGTAGCAGTTCTTTCAGATTTTGCTAAAATATATATTTTTTTCCCTTTCTGTGACACAGCTGTTTTATTGCCAGTGCCAGCTCACGACCAATCTTATCAAATAACTAATCTGTGACTGGTAATGAAGCTATCTGCCATACTTGGCACCACAGTTTAGGTGCCATTTGACAGGTGTAGTTTGCTGAATTAATGCAGAAGAGGCTGGCTTTGCTGTGCTTCACTTTTCTTTTTTAATTAACACCCTTTGCTTTTTATATATTGATTTTGCAACTAAGCCTGTTTTCTGTACTGTACAATCAAGAAAAAAGTATTTTGACTCATCTGTAAAATCCATTTCTTGGAGTACAATATAAAATACAGGACCCTTTCTGGAATTGCTGCAATTCCAAATCGCGCTGCAATTGTGGCAAAACGTGCTATGCCTGTTTTGTGTGCCATTCATTTTTAATAGCAGTGCAGTTTTGATGTGCAACAGAATCATGTGGCAACTATAGCAAAATGCAAGAGCTTCTTTTGGGTGACAAGCTTTGTGTGATGCAGTTTGCTGCATGATAAATCATGTGACAATCTTGGCGAAACCATACCGCATTAAAATGGAATGACAACCAAATACGCATGGTTCATTTTGCCACAATTGCAGTGCAGTTTGGAATCCTGGGCAGAATCGTGGTGATTTAGCCCGCGATCCCAAAACACCAGATGTGAATTGGGCCCCAGTTGCAGCAGTGGGTAATCCTGATCTGGCCACTCCTAATGTATTTGTATCAAATATATTTTCCCTTCATTGAAGCTCGATATAAACAATGATTTGATAATATGGTTTCTATGCATGTTAGGGTTAAAGAATAAGTTCACCTTTTAACAAAAAATAATAAATGCACATTTTTTTGCAGGTAAAATGTGCATTTATTATTTTTTGTTTCTGAAGCATCTAAAGCATTGCACCAGAAATCAGTAGATCGCTGGGGTCATGCAGGTCTCCCTCTGACCTGTCACTGTTACTGCTTGCTCGTACATCCTGTATGAGCAAGCAGATACTTTCTGACAAGAAGACTCCATGAACTACCATGACACGCCACAGCGCCATGGTAGTTCATTGACAACTACAAGCCGACAGTTGCAAAGGCTGTTGGAACTTGTGTTCTCATTCACAGAACATTGTGAATGGGGTGACATGGCTGGGCGGCAGAGCCCCACACGGCCATGTTTTTTTTTAAATTATGACAGCTAGCGGGGAGGAGAAGGTCCCCCGCTAGCTGTCACAATGGAAATCGGGGGGTGCTGGGGCCAGTCCAATCCATTACTTATTACATCCTGAATATGGGTGTAACCTGCTAAGAAAGGTGAACGATCCTTTAAGCAACATGTCCATCTTCAACATATGTACTACAGTTTTCACTTTATAAAGTGTTCATTAATCTGCAAATAATTGGGATATTTCTGCTTTCCATTTATGGAATTGGCTCACTATGTAAACACATACACACGCACACTATAAATTAAAATTACATTTTTGCAATGTACTATTGTCTTTACAGGCAGCAAATCAAAGAGTGAAAAAACTGGAGGCGAACATAGAGGCAGAGAGAGCAACACACCTTGAGTCCAAGTTTAATTCTGAAGTTATCCAGGTAACATGAGAAGACATTTTATAGAATTCAGTAAAAGTTAGTATATATATATTTTTTTTAATTGTTTTACATCGTGATTAGAGTGCATAAAATATACTATTAACTTATTATCTGCTCCAGTCAGAAGACTCCAGAAAGTGGCTGAAGGTTAATGTGCTTTATGTCAAAGCAGCTCTAAAATTGTATTTGTGCATTGTAGCCAAATACACCGTGCGGTGTATAGCAAGGTAGTTGTGCTGAGGTGCTATTTAAAATGAATGGGGTACTATATAAAATGAATGGGACCACAATGGCTATATAACTGGAATCGACCCAAGATTTTTTCACTTCATGCTAAAAATATCCACATGTTTGTATTTCCACAGTGATAACCAGTGGTTATTTTAGTTTATATTAATACTTAATTTTAGGTATGTTTGAAGAGTAAGGCAGCCTTTCTGATTATTTTTTTTTTTCTATTATTAGCTGCGGATTCGGGATCTTGAGCGGTCTTTAGAAGTAGAAAAGGCCAGTCAAGCTCAAAGTTCTACAGAGCTGGAGCTTATAAAATATCAGTTCAAAGAAGTGGAAATGGCTTATAATAGAGAGAAGTCCATTGCTGAAGATCTAACAGACAAGCTTAATAAGTAAGTGTTACAATATAGTGTTTGATTTTAGGTGTGAGGTTTTTGTCAGTTTTTCTGTTTGAAAAATATTGAAGTCATAATGAAATTGAGCATTTTCCTTTGGTAACAAAAATACTTTGTAAAAATAATGCTGCTTTTTTAAAAAGGAGGCGTTTTTTTATTTTGAATTAATTTCTCTGTTCTTGATTTAGTTCGGAAAAAGAATATGCTTCCATGATAAATGATTTTAAAGCTGACGTTGAGAAGAAAAACAAGCTAATCACAGAACTTTCTGCAAAACTAAGTAACTATGAAGAAAATTTAGCTTTAACGGAACAGAACCTTGCTATGGTAAGGATTGTAATAATCTATGCACACAGCAGAATCCATTACTTAATTGTACAGTACAGGAATCAAGCTCCTTTAAGTCTTAACCATGGGCTATATGCAGCTTCCTTCCAGTGATTAAACACTGGCAAACAAAATTGTGTGACAACCCATTTGACCTACTCCCACTCCCAGCAATCCTCAAATTGTTTTTTTTGCTAGTGTCTTTAGCTGAAGGATGACATCTCTCTACTGAGAACAGGTTACTGGCTATGATTTCTAATTCTACATGGAAAATTAAAAAGATCTCTTGCTTTTCTTCAAACTGAGAAATCTTTCTCAGCCAGCTGTGCCCACATCCACTGCGGACACCTCCTGCAGCTTTCGGATCAGTGCCTTATTGACCTAGCCTTGGAGACCATACTAGTACCATGCCAAATGAAGATGCTGGGCAGTCCTTTAACATTTCTTCTGGCACTAGACCCTACAGTTGGCACTCACCCTTGGTGTAGCACTACAGCGAAGTGCAGTTAGACGTAGGGTGTTCTACAGGTCCAAGGCAGTGGACATCTGTACCAATATAATCTAGTCCCTGAAGGCCCCCTCCATAGGTGAAGCAGAGAAACTCAACCTAGGGGTACATCCCTAAAAAAAGGAGCCTCTAGCCCTGGAGTCGTAATATACTATACTATACTCCTTTTTTGGGGGGTTATAAACCCCCATTAGCTCCCCTCCTCTATTTCTAAGGGTAATCCCTGTATCGCGGGCCTCTGCCTCCAGGCACAAAAGGTTGAGCGGCAAGAATACTTCGGTCACTGGGCAGTTGCGACAATCTAAATTCTGTGTTGCAGCCATGCTGCATTGTTTAACACTTTTTCGCTGCAGCTGCTGTAGTTATTTTGTTGCATCCTCAGAGACCCATTCAGACAGGCTGTTGCCCACACTGTGTGCAAAGTCTTGCCCCATGAGACGGTACCTTAGCACAGGCATTATTTTGAGCACATGCTCTGCTAAAGGACAATTAATTCAACTGCTTCAGACACCTCTCAGCTCCTTTTGAGGCCTGGGCCTCCATGTACACCTTTCCCTGGGTTATCCCACAACATTCAGTCATGAAACACAGGGCTGCTGCATCCCTTCTGCTCCATGGCACAAGTTGTGCATACCCCTCAATTGATCTCTCCAATTATAAGGCAGATGTCGGGCACAATGAAAAGGGGACAGGTGTGCAGGCTAGCACACACTGTGCACAAGACCGTGATAAATCAGGGGTAAATCGGGATTCCTCAGGTGCCTCTGCATCAGGTACTTTGGACCTCAGTTTCCATTCCTCTGAGTTCCTCCCTGACCCCCATTCCTCTCTTTTTTTAACTAGAGAGAAATTTTTGACTTCTATGTCAGAGCTGGGGAAAGTCTCTGTGGTGCTTGAGACCGCGGGATGCAAAACACCTACGAGCCAACAGTCTGCATCCCTGGTTGTGAGACTTGGCAACTGCTGAAGTGTTACTCACTGAGAGTCAGGATTATGGAGTGAAAGAATAATACGATTGACCATGACCTCTGCAAAGCTGAAGGAAGCCATTACAGTTCTGGTGGATGCTGTACGCACTTGTTTGAAGTTAGAACCATCACCTCCATCAGGGCCTAAAGCCACCAGGATGGGGACTCTACCAATATCCCAATAGCCTTCTAAGACTTTTCTGGTCCATCTTGTGATACAGGATTTTCTGTACGAGGAAGAGGCATGGCCTGAAAAATGTATTCTCCTCCTAAGCTGTTTGCTCACCAGTACCTGTTGTGGAGGCTTACTACAAGAAGTGAAAATTTCTGTGGTGCAACTGACTATTTCTTGCATCAACAAATCTCTAATGTTTTCATTCGAGGACATCCCAGTTTTAAAGATCTTGTTGACAGGAGGTTGACGTCTCTTCTTAAAGCTTCCTTTGCTCTTAGATCACAGCCGTGCAACCCACAGTAGAATCTATGGCAGTTTTCCAGACCATGGTGATCTGAACCTAGTGCATTGGCATGCAACCCTGGGGCATTGTGCTACTTTGTAGACCACTTGGTGGACTCTCTGCACAAAAAAAATTCTTTCCTGAATCTTATGTTAGTCCAGATGTGCAGAATCTTGCTGAAAGATTGGTCAAAAAAGTGGAAATTACAGTTCAATGTTTCTAAATGTAAAATAATGCACCTGGGGAAAAAGAATCCCTTGAGAGAGTACAACATTGGGGGTGCATTGTTGGCCAGCACTTCAGAGGAAAAGGACTTGTGGGTACTTTTTTCAGATGACTGCAAAATGAGCAGTGTGGCCAGGCAGTGGGGAAAGCAAATAGAATTCTAGTATACATCACCAGAGGGGTCACCAGCAGGAGGAAGGAGGTCCTGATTCCCCTATATCAGATGTCTCTAAACTAAGTCCCATCACGCCTCTGCCTCTGGGAATCTTGCCTGTGGCGTCAAGAGTCTTGCAAGGCCTCATGGGACTTGCAGTTCTTCAACACCTGGATGGTCATAGTTTGGAGACCCCTGCCCTATATAGATCTTTAGCTAGATCTCATTTAGAATACTGTATCCAGTTCTGGAGACCTCACTCACCAAAAGATATTGTTAAGATAGAACGAGTCTAGAGACGGGTAACAAAAATGTGAAAGTTTTGGGGGATAAAACAAATCAAGAGTTACTTCAGGAACTTAACATGTACAGTCTGGAGGAAAGAAGGGAAAGGGGAGACATGATTGAAACCTTTAAATAAATCAAGGGAGTGAATAAGGGTCTGGAGGGCAGTATTTTCGACAGGAAACCAAAATCAAGAACACGGGGACATCACCTTAAACTAACTGGAGGAAAGTTCATAACTAATCTCAGAAAGCACTATTTTACTGAAAGAGTAGTTGATGCTTGGAATAATCTTCAAGCAGAGGTAGTGAGCCAGTCAACAGTAAATGGCTTCAAACATGCTTGGGACAAGCATAGATCTATACTCAAAAAAGACAAAAAGTTACCAAAAGCAAACCACAAGCACCCCCCCCCCCCCCCAAAAAAAAAAAAAAAAAACAGGTAGACTCGATGGACCACTCGGTCTTTTTCTGCCGTCACTTTTTTATGTTTTTATCTTGTGGTCTTCGAAGGTGGCCTGTAAGAAGTGTTTGGAAATATCCCATTTTGATGGGGAGTGTCTCTTTTGGAAGTCCTTAAGCACCCTTATTAAGAAAGTCATGCTCTTTCCTGGTAAGAGGAAAGCCAACTCAGCCACTCCCAGATTTCTGAAAAATTCCTTTTATCTTTCCCAGACCTCTGCTTCTAACTCCAAGTCCACCTCTCAATTCCATTTCAAGTCCTAGATGTCTAAGCCAGACAAGTTTGGTGCAAAGCCTGCCGCACAGTGAGGTGGCGTCCCCACTTCTACAAAGGAGGAGATGTGTGTTAGCCTTTTTGGCTTTGCTCTTAAGGAGCGATTGCTCTGGTTCCCTTACAGGGACCGTTTTGAAGGTTTTATTTCAACTTATTTATGGTTCTAAAACCAGATGGGGTAGTTTGCCCCATCCTGGATTTGAAGGTTCTCAGCACCTTCCTGGAGGTCTAGAAGTAACAGGTGGAATCAGCCCTGTCTGTTATTGCTCAACTGCAACAAGTTCTTGACATCCACATACATCGAGGAGAGGATGTGTATTTACAGGTCCTCTCTTCCTCTCTGTGTGAGCAGTTGTCAGGAATGGACTTGCCAATAGTGGTGGGACTCACGATGCCTTGTGGGCTGCAGTACCAGGGCTGGCCAGTGGGTGCTCTCAACAACCAGAGGTTCACTTTGGCAATTAGCCATCACCTGGGGCTGATTGCAGGTGGTGTATTTAAGGGATGGCCAGACCTGCAGTCTGTGCCTTGGTGTGTGTTTTTCCATGGGCCCCTGTATCTTGTAACCTGCATTCCTGTTCCTGCCTGACTTGTTGCCGACCCTGCCTGATCCTGACCTCTGCTGACTTCTCCTGTTTGATCCCTGGCTTGTGACCCTGACCATTCTCTCCACCTGCTCCTCCTGTACCTACCTGCCGGATAGTTATCGACCCGGCCTGCCTGACTACGTTGTGCTCTATATGTGTATGTACCTGTGTATCTATACCAGTTAGGTTTGGGTTTGTTTCACCTTGTTGTATGTATTTGTGTTAGCTTGGGGTTTGGTGCACTGCGTTTTATATTTGTATTGTTAGTCTTAATAAATTGTCTTATTTATACCATATCTGAAGCCTGCGTTTCCCTGTGTCAGTACACACATCTCTGGTCACACCCGCATCCCTGACATTACACCAAGGCCAAAACCTGACCAGAAGTGGCTACACAGGGAGGCCATCTTGGCTTATTGTTGCTGGGAAGGATGGATCTTGATGAGGTGGTGTATTTATCTCTGCTAGTGTTTGATGACAAAGACTATGCTTATCAGACTCTGAAGGAGTATACCCGGGATCAACTGCTAGAGTGTATAAGGATCGCTCATTGTCTAGTAGATCAGGGCACAGAGTTTTCTGAGTGCAGCCACTGATCCAGGTTTGTGCTGAGTTGGCTCGGTCCTGTACCCCTGAAAGCAGGAATGACTTTTTTTCCCCCATTTAGTGTGGATCAAGTGGAATCACTGGTATGGTTGTTGGAGGATGATCCAGATTGTTTCCATGAGCACTATGCAGCATGTCCATCACATGTGCTTATGGATTGCATAAACGCAGTGCAGTCTTTGATCAGACAGGCTATGTGTAAGCTGAGTTTTGTTCAACCAGTACTGCAGACATGGACAGATTTGTTACACCCAGCCTCAGTCGGCTTGCAACATCATTCCTCTGCTCAAGGCACTCTTCCTGCATCCCCGACGGCACCCCCAGTGATGGCCCAGTATACTCTACTAACTACCACATACCAGTCCCCTGCTCCCACTCGCTGCACCTATCCTTTCTTCAACCCTGTAAAGAAGTCCTCTGTAACAACTGCTCCCTCCTCTGTTCCATCCTCCAGCTCTTCTCTGTCTTCAGCTGCTCCATCCGTTTACAAACCTGTGCCTACTTACAGTGCTCCGGTAACTAAAACCAGGAAAAGGCGAAAATTCTTTCCAACCAATACCATCCTGCCAGTATCCAAACCGGTCAGCCTGCCATCTGAGAAACCGCCTTCCGTGGTGCAGCCTGGTGCCTCGGCGCCCACAATTCAGCCTGATGTCTCTACCCAGCCTGATGTCTCTACCCAGCCTGATGTCCTTACCCAGCCTGATGTCCTTACCCAGCCTGATGTCCTTACCCAGCCTGATGTCCTTACCCAGCCTGATGTCCTTACCCAGCCTGATGTCCTTACCCAGCCTGATGTCTCTACCCAGCCTGATGTCTCTACCCAGCCTGATGTCTCTACCCAGCCTGATGTCTCTACCCAGCCTGATGTCTCTACCCAGCCTGATGTCTCTACCCAGCCTGATGTCTCTACCCAGCCTGATGTCTCTACCCAGCCTGATGTCTCTACCCAGCCTGATGTCTCTACCCAGCCTGATGTCTCTACCCAGCCTGATGTCTCTACCCAGCCTGATGTCTCTACCCAGCCTGATGATCCAGCTGATTCTATTATGCCAGACGACTCGGTGCCCGCAGTCTTGCCAGACGACTCGGTGCCCGCAGTCTTGCCAGACGACCCGGTGCCTGCCGCCCCGCCTGGTTGCCCGGTGCCCGCTGCTCCGCCTGGGGGCCCGGTGCCCGCCGCCCGCCTGGGGGCCCGGTGCCCGCCGCTCCACCTGGTGATCCGGCGTCCAGCCCGAAGTGCCTCCGTCCGGTGCCCAGCCCGAAGTGCCTCCGTCCGGTGCCCAGCCCGAAGTGCCTCCGTCCGGTGCCCAGCCCGAAGTGCCAGTCTTTGATATCCCGCCAGTCACCGGACCCGGGCGGTGGAACATTTTGCCCAGCTAGGACTGTTTGGAGCGTCCTGAGGCCGCTCCTTGGGGGGGGGGGGGGGGGGGTACTGTCAGGAATGGACTTGCCAATAGTGGTGGGACTCACGATGCCTTGTGGACTGCAGTACCAGGGCTGGCCAGCGGCGGTGCTCTCAACAACCAGAGGTTCACTTTGGCAATTAGCCATCACCTGGGGCTGATTGCAGGTGGTGTATTTAAGGGATGGCCAGACCTGCAGTCTGTGCCTTGGTGTGTGTTTTTCCATGGGCCCCTGTATCTTGTAACCTGCATTCCTGTTCCTGCCTGACTTGTTTCTGACCTCTGCTGACTTCTCCTGTTTGATCCCTGGCTTGGGACCCTGACCATTCTCTCTTTCTGCTCTTCCTGTACCTACCTGCCGGATAGTTATCGACCCGGCCTGCCTGACTACGTTGTGCTCTATATGTGTATGTACCTGTGTATCTATACCAGTTTAGGTTTGGGTTTGTTTCACCTTGTTGTATGTATTTGTGTTAGCTTGGGGTTTGGTGCACTGCGTTTATATTTGTATTGTTAGTCTTAATAAATTGTCTTATTTATACCATATCTGAAGCCTGCGTTTCCCTGTGTCAGTACACACATCTCTGGTCACACCCGCATCCCTGACAGCAGTTCTTGCATTTAGAAGTGGGTACTCAGCACTTTCATTTCCTGGCCCTTCCCTTTGACCTATTCTTTGCTCCTGAGGTCTTCACTAAGGTACTATCCCTTATCCTGGTGCTTCTGCCCTGTTAGGGAATCCATATTGTGGGTTATTTGGAAAACTTCTGAATTAATGCTCTGCATACTGAACATTATAGAGTTTATGGCGCCGCTCAAAGCTGATTGTGAATTATAATCACCCTGCCGGCAGAGAAAAGGAGAGGGAGCAGCGTCCCAAGTAGCTCCAGAGACTTTAAAGTGTGTGTAGAGATGAACACTGCTCAAACCGATCAGACAGTGTGGCTGCAGTGATAGCTAAGGCCATCCATCAAACAGCATTGCTCTCTGGCTCCTGGGTATCGGTTTGAGCAGTGGTCATCTCTACACACACTTTCCGTGCTCTGCATCCTTGGTTCGTATTTTTTTCAAAGCTCTACCGGGTGGATGTTAAGTCTCAGCAGATGCTAGCTTTGGTCATAAGGTGTTTTGAGATGATAAAGGAGCTCACATCCTTAGTCTCTTTGGTTGTGAGTCTGTTGGCATTGATTGGTATGTTGCCCACCCCTCAGTTCCTATGGTTAAGACTTAAAGAAGTCTGTGTCCTGTACAGTACAATTTAGGATTTTTGACTTGCCTGTAACTACCTTTCTTGGAGTACAGTACAGAACCAGCCTCCACCTCTGTTCTGGCATCTTCTTTTTCCTATGGCTTGTTAAAAAACTGAGGATTGTTGGGAGTGGGAGAAGTTGTATGGGCTGCTGCACAATTCTTTTTGCCAGTGTCCAGTCATCTATAGGTGGCTGCATGTAACCCATTGTTAAGATTTAAAGGAACCTGTGTCCTGTATTGTACCCCAAGAAAAGGATTTTAAAGGTAAATAAAATAATCCTTATTTTGTGTGTAATGTTAGTTTTCTTTTTGTAAATGTATATGATGTATAATTGATTGATTCTATCTAATATAAATTTGTATTGCCTATAAAATCTAATACCTTTCTAAATATCTTGCAGACTAAAAAACAGCAGGTTTCTATTGAAGATACTTATGGATATATTGTAAAAGAACTACAGGGATTGGTGGACAATTGCAGTGTGTCAAGCCTCTCTGTGTCAGGTCAGTTTAAGGTGCAATATGACCAATGCATTTTTCAGCATTTTAAAGTGACTTCTTAATGGGAATTATACAGCTGCCTCCTTAGACCTCCTTCCGGCATGTTCTTGTTTGATGTCATGATTGAAGGAGTCTTCACAGCAGTGCTCTGGCCCAGATGCCTGTTTATTGGTCATGATAGGAGAACCTTCTGTTGCTGCTTCTTAAGTTGATTTACAAGTTGTATTATTTAAGATGACCTCTTGGAAAGGACACGCTGGCTTTACCTTGATTCCAGCAGAGGCAGAGGTCTCATCAGTGTACGTGCAAAGGGAGCAGATGTTTTCATAGGACTGATCCAAAGCCTTAGCCCCTATAAGGTCACATATTCACAACACATATGTAGTACCTAATGAGACATTCTGTGTGTTTTCTATTTTAACACAGAAAAATACATTTTTTTTCTCTTTCTTTTTTTTTTAAACAGGTGTTTAAGATTTTTGCGCAGGTATAGAAAACAACCATTAAAGCATCATCAAAAGTACCAAATTAGTGCAATGTGAAAATATAGGTACTGTACCCAGAGGATTAACAAATTTGTACTGGCTATAGGATAGAAACTGCATTTTTGATGTCACCCCACAAGTTTTCTATTGGATTAAGATCCGGGGATTGGGCTGGCCACTCCATAACGTCAATCTTGTTGGTCTGGAACCAAGATGTTGCACATTTACTGGGGTGTTTGGGGTCGTTGTCTTGTTGGAACACACATTTCAAGGGCATTTCCTCTTCAGCATAAGGCAGCATGACCTCTTCAAGTATTCTGATGTATTCAAACTGATCCATGATCCCTGGTATGCGATAAATAGGCCCAACACCGTAGTATGAGAAACATCCCCATATCATGATGCTTGCGCAACCATGCTTCACTGTCTTCACAGTGTACTGTGGCTTGAATTCAGTGTTTGGAGGTCGTCTGACAAACTGTCTCCGGCCACTAGACCCTAAAAGAACAATCTTACTTTCATCAGTCCACAAAATGTTGAGCCATTTCTCTTTAGGCCAGTCAATGTGCTCTTTGGCAAATTGTAACCTCTTCAGCACATCTTTTTTTTTTTCAACAGTGGGACTTTGCTGTTCCTTCTTGCAGATAGCTTGGCTTCACATAGGCGTCTTCTAATTGTAACAGTACTCACAGGTAACTTTAGACCTTCTTTGATCTTCCTGGAGCTGATTGTTGGCTGAGTCCTTGCCATTTTGGCTATTCTTCTATCCATTCGAATGGTAGTTTTTCGCTTTCTTCCACGTCTTTCAGGTTTTGGTTGCCATTTTAAAGCATTTGCGATCATTTTAGCTGAGAAGCCTATCATTTTCTGCACTTCTTTATATGTTTTCCCCTCTCCAATCAACTTTTTAATCAAGGTACGCTGTTCTTCTGAACAATGTCTGGAACTACCCATTTTCCTCAGAATTTCAGAGAGAAATGCACTGTAACCAGCATGTACAACATTTGCTGCCTTCCTTCCTTAAATAAGGGCAATAATTGCCACCTGTTTTTCAAAGAATGAATGACCTCACTAATAGAACTCCACACTGCTATTATTTTGAACATGCCCCTTTCAATTAGTGATTCAATTACACAGAATCAGCAGCATGCATGTCATGACTGTTGGGTCTGTTGGACTTCTATTACTCTACTACACCTGCTACTAAATTATTTGCCATGTAGAAATATCATTTCTACTAAAAACAATGATTGATCAGGTTAGTGATGTCTGACTGCTATTATTTTGAACACAACTGTACATTCAGTAAATGGGTAACCAGTACAGTGGAACATACCACATTCGCAATGACCAATGCAGGAGTAATTAAGCAATTAGGAGGTTTGGGACATAGAAACCCCCTCCCCAACCCAAAGCTGCCATACTTTAGTAAACTTTTTTTGGACATGCCCGGCCCTTATAGATCAATTTAAACTCTGGCAAATCAGCACTAACCAAACAGAAAAAATGTTGGAGGGAGGGTGGTTCGGCCTCTTTCCAGTGTAGCAGAATCAATTTACATGCAAAAAAACAAAAGCATCCGAAGCAGGATCCGAGCATCCAGAGTCCGAGGAAGAGATTTTGCTCTTTAATTTTTTTTTTCATTTGCAGATATCTTTGTCCTAATTAAATGGTTGCTTCACCTACAGTTCTTAATATAATTACTTGCAAATACTGAAGATTTAAACCATCTTAAAGTCCTCTTTTATCAGTCAGGTGTTTTGGTGGAAATGTTTGCATCTGCTGAAGCTTTCTCTTCTTCCTGTTGAACTTTTAAACTATTTTGCAATGTGGAGAATGTTAGGGTCCTTTCACATGGGCGTTCTGGTTTTTTTTTAATCAGTTCTGTTTTTTTCATCAGTTCAGTTGTGTGTTTTGTTTGTTTTTTTTTTTTTTTTTTTATAAATCGGAGCTAAATAGATCAAGACGGCACTTTTTACCTCCGTTTTCATATCCATTGACATCCATCTTTCATCTGTTGATATCCGTTTTTCATCCGTTGACATCTGTTAACATCTGTTTTTCTCTGTTCTTGATCCAATTACATCTGTTTTTGAGCCATTTGTGGTCCGTTTACATCTATTTTTTTAATTTATTTTTTTTTTTTAATTTATTTTGTTGAAAATTAAAAAACAAATAAGCAAATTTTCAGAAAAACAGATGTTAGCGGATCGGTTGTAAGCGGATGTCATCCGCTAACATCCGTTTTTCATCCGTTACGTTTTTTTTTACGAAAGAAAAAAAAGAGATTTCTTCCGTTCAAAAAAAAACAGATGTTAACAGATGCGGACATTAATGGATGTAAAAAGATGTTCATCCGTTTACATCCGCCAGGTCGTAGAAATACATGGGTGTCCGTTTTTCATTTGTAAATGGACAGGTGAAAAACGGACATACTTAACGCCCGAGTGAAAGGGGCCTTAGAGTAGAAGTGAGAACACCCAAAAACTCTAATTAGGATGAAACCTAGCCAGACATTAAGTGATCTCGCCATTGGAGTCTGCAGCAACTAGTAGGTTACTGACTTCACCAGACGACTCACAGCACAGGGTAAGCACTTTGCTACAATCTTTTACTGCTGGTAGTTTGACATCCCAAAAAATATTGGTTGTTCTTTTTTTTATACTCCTTTAAACTTATGCACATTAGACTTGCATTGTGAGAAGAAGCTGTATAGTGCAACCACTGTAAAGCAACATAGAGAAACATCAGAGCTTGCTTATGTAATAATCATATATGAATGCCCTATTTATATATACTGTATAACTATAAACTGTACAAAGAAACAAGGTTTTTATATTTTATCCTTTTACTTGATACAGTTCACATTATTTATATCTTTTATATATATCTATGATGTGTTATTACACAAGAAGCGTACACATTTAACGAAAAACTGTAGCCAAAAGCATTTTTTAACATTAACACTGATTTCTAAAATTAATGCGATTTTGTATTCATTTACGCATTTTTAAAAAAGTAAATGATAAAAAAAATATCTATAAAAGCACTAGACGTACAGGGTAAAGAAACAAATGCATTTATTGAAGTCTAACTGTGTGATTAGAAAAGTAGAAAAAATAGATAAAGTAGGACACTAGCCAAAATGTATACTATTTACTGTATACAAGTTGGTGTGTAGTAAAATTCTGTGAATGGGCAAATTTTTCAGTTTTTTCCTCCCATTTCAAGTAAGGATCTATCTTTCTTAGGCTGTTCATAAAAAAACCCATAAATATTATATGTTTCATTGACTATCTTAAAATTTGCTATTCATTATAGTTGTGATAATTCATTACCCATATGCCTTTAGATTCTTGTGAATGCCACAGATAAAAAAACAACCCAAGACATGGAAAGAAATATTTAGTAATTTTTTATCATAAAAAAACAATTCAACAAAAACTAGTATATATAGCAGCTTAAAAAGACAAAATCATAAGTACTTTGTCACTGCATTTACATTTGCTTCTTATAATTACATTTTTAAAGCACGTCTTGTCATTTTGCAATTTCCTGCTAGTAATTTTACATTTTCGTATTCTTCAGGGACCTACAATGATAACCTTAGACCTGCCAGGCCTGCTGTCCTTGAGGCTTTAAGGCATACCTTGACAGATTACCAGAACAAGCTGCAAAGTTCATCTAATGAGGTAACTCTGCCACGTTTTGGCTCCAAATACATGGCCTTTGGCCCACTATAGCTCTACTTGCTGGCTCATTTCAAAGGTCTGGCGTGTGGCAATTGAGACAATTTTCTGTAAGAGAAATCATACCTGTCATTGATTTTACTTTGGACATGGCCTGAATTGCTAAATTACAAGATTTCAATTATAGGTTTAGTCAACATTTTGGACTTGGGCTTTTCAGATTATTTGGTCTTGTCAGACATTATGCTGTATGTTCTTCATTTTACATATGTTTTAGGTATAAATATTCTGTCAATAGTATTGTGTAGCTGGTTTCAAATATTTTATACAGACTATCTTATTACTAATATTTCCATTCTGCTTGTTTAAGTAGTAAATGGTTCAGTTATCAAGAGCTTTTATGTTTTGTGGCAAACACGTTTAATAATCTAAACTAAGACCAGAAGAAATCTGGACGCCATAATTGCTGACCGTCTCCTGTAAAGAAAATTCTAGTTACTTTTTCTGTCTACAGTTGTTCCTGAGACACTTTTTTTTTTTTTTTTTTTTTTTTGTGAACATTCTTTATTTCTTAAAAAAACATTTTTTAAGAAGTACAGAAAACAGTGAGATGGATGCCACCTAAATAGGTGTCAACCCAGAAACATTCAAGATATATAATCAATTGTAACAGCAAGACAACATTGTATCAGGCAGTAAGTTGAGAAGCATAACTTTATGGTGAGCCTGCAAAACTGAACAAATGAGGTCAGCATCCTATCCACATATGCAGAAAAGAAGAAAAAAAAAACGGTAGAAGAGAATAAAGAAAAAGAGTGAAGAACAGAAACAGCGAGACAAGGGTAGAGAAGGGACTTCAAGCCACTGAGCGTAGCAGGGACTCATAATCACTAGAACAGGTAAAGAGAGACCAATGGACCCACCGCTGGTGGAACTTGTCTTCCTGTCCATGAACTGCAGCCATCATACTTTCCATTGTATATTTCTTCAATTCTAGTCAGCCACATGGAGGTAGAAGGGGGAACCTCCTGTTTCCAGAGATGGTATGCAAGCACGAGCAGCATTGATCAGATTTACAAATAAGGAGTTCTTGTAACGTTTGCTGGAGAAGTCAGAATGGAGCAATAGATGCCTAGCTGGGTCTTCCCCCAGGTCAAAATCTGTCAAGCGTTTAATAAGCTCTCTAACTTGTGACCAAAAAGTGGCTAGTTTTCTACAGGACCAAAATATATGTAGGAACAAGCTGCCCCCCTCCCAACAATGCCAACAGATCTTTGTTGCCTCTGGATAGATCTGATGTAAAATGACCGGGACCCGATACCAATGTGTGAGCAAGTTGTATCCCAACTCCTGGTATTTGCTCGACAGAGAGGAGAGATGGGCAAAATACAAAATGTGGTCTCTCTGCTCAGTGAAGAAAGTCCTACCTAGCTCCTCCTCCCACTTAAGAAGATACGGTGGCACAAAAGAGTCAGCCGGTTGACTAAGCAAATTGTAGGCCAACGAGATTGCTTGGGAAGTAGGATCAGGGTTAACACAAAGATCCTCAAAAGATTCATTAGGTCCCAGGTCTATCCCTCTATGGGTCAGGGAGGACAAGAAATGAATGAGTAGCTGTAATCTCCAATTGTCTAAGGGTGGAACAAACATCCGCTGTATTCCCACTGGGGCCTTCATCTGCTCACCAGCCATGAAATCCCGAAGACGGAATTTGCCTCTGGAAAAGAGAGGCAGAAATCTCCCATCCGAGATCCCCGGCGGAATACAAGGGTTTCCCAATACAGGATATAATCAGGAAATTGTAGAACGCACTAGCTGAGCATCCTCGCATAATTTCATGACTCCTAGAGTAGCTCCTATTAAAGGGTGGGTTTTGAAGGCTGGAAGTCTGCTAAGATCCATCCACGGTAGACAGTGAAGAGGAGCATCCATGAAACACTGCTCCATCTATACCCATTGTCTACACCAGGTGAGGATCCTAGGATCCTACAGAAATAATGAACTGGGTCTGGGAAAGCCATCCCTCCTTGATTCTTAGGCAATGACAAGTAGAGTGAGAAATACGTGGAAGAAATTTTGCCCAAATGACACGCAAAAAGGCACCACGCACCTGCTTCAAAAATGATAGAGGGATCGCTATTGGAAGTGTCTGGAAGAGATATAAAAGTCGGGGCATGATATTCATTTTAAGTGTTGCATTCTTACCCGTCCACTAATGAGCCAAATCGGCCCATTTGTGAAGGCCTGCTGTGATAGCCCTTAGGGAAGGGGGAAATTTGGCCTTAAATATCTGATCTACGTTGTGGGTAATCTTGACCCCTTAATAGGACAAAAAGGAGGAAGCCTCCTGAAAAGGGAAGGAGCGCAGATCGATCGAAACCTAGACTCGGATATAGAGACATTCAGAAACTCTGATTTATGACTATTAATTTTGAAATTAGAGAGAGATCCATAGCGGCTCAGGTCTTCCAAAAGATTTGGCAAGGTGACATCGGGGGGCTGCAACAAAAAAACAGAAGATCATCAACGAAGGCCGCCACCTTGTGTTCTGTCCAGCCCATGGGTATACCCCTAACATTCTGATTCATTCGGATGTCTCAAAAGGGGTTCTAGAGTCAAGATGAATATCGGGGGTGACAAGGGACATCCCTGACGGGTCCCTTCTGCCAAGGAAAAATATGTGGAGGTGGCCTCACTGGTTCTGGCTTCCGCTAAAAGGTGAGAATAGATGGCGTCGATCCAAGTAAGGAATCTCTTTCCCACTCGCACATGTCTGAGTGTTTCCTTCAGGAAAAGCCAGTCCACCCTGTCAAAAGCCTTCTCCGCATCCGCGGAAAGCAGACACATGGAGAGTTTTTGGGAATGAGCCCAGTGAGTGACATTCAGGACCTTGGTGGTATTGTCCTTGGATTCCTTAGATGGCATAAAACCCACCTGGTCAGGATGGATTATCTCCTGAAGGAGAGGCCACAGCCGAAGTGAAAGGATTTTTGTAAATATTTTTAGGTCGGTGCTCAAGAGTGAGATGGGCCTATAATTTTTGAACTGGGTGGGATCTCTATCCTCCGGAATGACAGCTATATGAGCCCACAAAGAGTCCAAAGGCAAGGAATGTCCCTCAAGAATAGAGTTAAAGGCCGCCACAAATCTAGGTGCTAGGATAGGCACAAACGCTTTATAGTGCGCGCCCCCCCCCCCCCCCATGAAACCATCCGACCCCGGGGCTTTCTGGGGCTTAAGGAGCTTAACCTCACATAAAAAACTCGTCAGATGACACTGGAGCACTCAGACTGTCTCTGCCGGAGAGATCGAGGGTAGACCGGAATCAATCAAATAATCTCCAATTCGCCTCTGCATTCAGATTATAAAGCATCGAGTAATAGTAGTGGAAGGCCTCTGCAATCTCTTGCAAGGAATAACAGCGCTGTCCCTGCCCCTTGTCAATAAATGGTATATAGCTTCTAAGGGAGAGTTCTCAAAGGGAACACGCCAACAATCTACCCGGCTTATTACATGTTCATAGAACAGCCGATGGATTCTCAGTAATTTGTTCTTAGTGTCGTGAAGAAGCAGTTCCGCTAATTTACTCCACTGAACACGTAACTCAGCCGCCACCGCCTGCGACAAGGATTTTTTATGGGTTCGCTCCAGAGTAGCCACCACGTTCAGCTGACTCTGAAGCAGGGCCAGTCGATTGTTTTTTAGCTCCAACGCTTTTTGAATAAGCACGCCACGCATGACACAATTGTGTGATTCCCATTGAAGGGTGGGAGCAACCTCCGGGGTGTCATTATCTCAAAAAAACCTGTGTCAGGGACCGCGTAAGTTCAGTTAAAAGAGTGCCCTCCTTCATCGGAGACTCATTAAGCTTCCACGACCAGGCTGTAGAGCGCACCGAACCCATCTGCAAATCCAGAGTAACGGGCGCATGATCCGAAATAGTTTGGGTGGTTATCGATGCGCGGAGTACCGCCTGGAAGCAAAGACTGGTGAGAAAAAGATCTATCCTGGAATAACTGTCATGTGGGAAAGAATAGAAAGAGTAATCCCGGTCATTAGGATGTAAAATACGCCATACATCCACCAATCTGATAGACGCCAATGCTTTCTTGATATGTTGAAGACACAGGACAAATGTGAAGAAGATTGCGACGTATTAAAAAGGGGGTCAAGAGCCAAATTTAAGTCACCACCCAAAATTACACCTCCCTCCATGAAGTTCTGTAAATTATTCAGTATGTCTTCTAGATACGTAAATCGAGCCGGATTAGGAAGATAGACTGAAGTCAGGGTAACTCTGCGCCCCTCCAGATCTCCTTTAAGGAATTTGTAGCGACCCGCTGGGTCGACATACTGATCAATAAAAGATTACAGGATACTCACCCCTTCCGTCTTCGAATCAGAAGTAGTGCTATGATAAGGGGAATCGAAACTTGGAGAATTTAGACTTGTCTGTTTAAAAGTGGGTCTCCTGTATAAACACAATTTGCGCTCTGAGACGCCAGAATTCCCACAGGACCATGGCTCGCTTCTTAGGGCTATTTAGTCCCTTCGCATTGAAGGATACACATCTAAACAACGACATGGCTTAGAGATATAAAAAAAAAGGGGGGGGGGTAATTCAAACTGCAGCAGAAAGAATGAGTAAAGAAAAGGTAGAAAAGTTTAGAGTGAGCAAGATATGAAAGCAGGAGAAGAGAGAGAACAACAGCAAACACAATTATAAATGTCTGATCATGAGCCTATTTTGGTGGTCTGTCAATCTCTTCTATGTAGGCCGGCCTTTTCTTCGTGGATAATGAATGACTCCTTGCTTTCGCTGAAGGAGATTCAGGCGGAACTACATCGTAAATCTCAGGAATATTTCCAATTAAACTCGGGTTCTGTCTCTTCTTCAGTAACGTTATGGGAAGCAGTTATGGGAAGGCAGTTCTTAGGGGACATATTATCCAGATAGCTTCACGGTGAAAGAAGGAAAGGCAGCTTAAACAGTGTCAGTTGGA